TGACCCCAGCATTCATTCCTGCCTGTGGCAGGGGGTCAGGCTAGATGATCTGTTCAGGTCCCTCCTGACCCTAGCTACTATGAAACTATGAAACCTGTGAGCGTTTCACAGCCTAAAGTTTCATTTAGATCAGCAACAGTTTCTGTAGCAACTGGAGGCATACTATGCGTAATGAAATGCTTTTAACATAACAGCAGGCATCAACAGTAGACAAGCTCAATATGGAATAGCCGTTTCTATTAGGTCTGTGCGAGGTGGCTAGTATTCGCTTTGGATTCAGCCAATTCGGGGGACAGTGATTCGATTCAGTGATTCACATCATTGTCCTGAATCGATCTGGCCAAATCTCTGAATCACACAGGCCCCATCCCCAACCCGTTCTCCCATCCCCAGCAATGGCTGCCCTGCCTGCCCCAGCTCCTGGCACTTTAAGAAAAAGAAAAAAAAGACCCTGAACTCACCAGCTCCTGCCTGGTGGGAGGCAATCCCCACTGCTTCCCACCACCCCACACTGCATGGGGGACTCTGCATGAGCCACCCAAAGCCCTGAGGCTGCTGCAGGAGCTGGTGATTCGGGGGGTTTTGGGGTGCTTTTTTCTTAAAGACCGAGAGCTGGGGTGGGCAGGGCAGCCATGGGGGGCTAGGGGAGCAGGCAGGGGATGTGGGGGCCACGGGAGCCCAGGCAAGGGATGTCCCCCCATGATCCCCTCCCCCTCTTCCAGCCCCCCTTCCCCACCCCTACTTACCAGCTCAGAGTCCTGGTCCAGCTCCCTGCTGCAGCAGGCAAGGACTGCCTGAATCACCAAAGCTCTCCAAATCTTTTCCAAATCAATTCATAGGGCTTTGAATCGGTTCAGACCTTTTAATTGGCCCCCTGATTCAATTTGGATTTGGAGATTCAGCCACTGAATTGGGCCAAATCTCCTCTGAATTGAATCAGCACCTGAATCTTTGCACAGCCCTACTTTCTACTGGTGGGAGTCCAACCCTCCCCACACACACACCCTCACATAATGCTCAGCATGTTACAAAAAGTATTTATGTTCATCTGCTTTAGAAGTATCTAAATGTATATCACCATAGTATCTAAGAGTTATTTATTTAGACTAATATGTAGCAAGCTATAAGAAACATCTATTTTCACTGGTACGTTATCTTTACTTAAGACATTTTAATATATATTGGAAACAGTGCTACAGATTAGAGACTGTGCTCTGTAGTGTTCATGACTGTATTTTAAATCACTTCTAAGGATGAGCCCAAATGCACCAAGGTACTTAATCATGTATTAACTTTTAAGCATGAGCAGACTCATTCAACTCTATAAATATTAGTCTGAATTTTACTGAGCTTTTTCTTTAGATATCTTTAAGAATTCTGTTATCATAAAAACACACTGGAGTTTATTTTATTTTATTAATATAATTATTTATAAAGCTTATAATTTGAGATATTGATAGCATTTTCCAAAACTGTTTTTTCAACAGTGAATCATCTGTGCAACAATTTCTTCCCACTTCCAAAATAATTAGGTATAACAACATAAAATTATATCAGGTAGTGAGGGGATGCACAAGGTATAAAAATACTTCAGTTTCAACTTTAATAAATATTCACTGGTAAGACTGCACATTGATTTCAGCAGTTTTTACAGATTAAAATGTATCCAGTTAAATCAGATATCTTTTTTGAGGGTCGCTACTGTAAATTCTTGTCATTAGAATTTGACTCAAAGAAAAGGATTCAGATCCAAATCACTCTAAAAAAGGAAGCTGTCATTGAAAATAAATTGCTCACAGAAGCAAACTTAGATTTTCATAACCATGATGGTCTGTCTTAGGATACTTTTCCTGTTATCTTTTTATTATCTCTGAACAAGTTAATATCTAATGTGCCATCCTGTCCTCTCCTCGATTATATTTGTTTATCACTAAGCAACTCTGGGAACAATCTTAGCAAACTATTTAGAAGTTAAACAATGGTCAGAAAAAAAGGGGAGGGAGAGGGATGAAGAGAGAATTTTTGTCTTTACTTCTACACTATAGTTGAACATTTTGCACTTTAGGATCTAACAGATAAGGATGATGAAGAGGCCAGTGATGATGAGAATGAGGAGAAAGATATTGAAACTATTCTTGAGGAAGAGTTCCCAAAAGAAGAAGGGGAAGAAGAGGAAGAAGAAGAGCAGGAATATGATGCTGTTGAACGTATGAAAAATGAAATTGCAGAGAAGTATGAAGCAGATAGTAACAATTTACAAGGCGTGCAGGTACTTTACTCATGATCTAATTTATTACATTTTAATATGACATGAGATAAGACATTATTTCAAATTAGTAAGGCTGACTTAATTTAGTTGTAATATTTCAGTGTTATAGTACCTGATGCCTTTATTTCCTCTTAATAAACCAGTTTATGCATGAGGTCAGACTAAATGATCATCAGGGATCCTGGTTTTCTCTGTTTAAAAATCCCAAATTCTCTGATTAAAAACCCCCCAAATCCACATATTTGGGTGATCAAATGAAACGCCACTATATATATGAGTATCAATTGAACACAATACTTTATTGATAGTTTTACTATGTTAAAGTAGTTTGGAAGCCTACCAGTGCCTCGATCATAATATACATTCTAAATACCTATATATTTTGGCGTTTGATTTTGGTTTTTTTATCATGGAAAATCAGAACTCCCCCTGCCATCTGCACTCACCAGGATATGGGCCCAGCTGCGGCTATGCCCCCCAGCTGCTTTGTGGTGCTGAGCAGTCCTGATATGGTGGTGCCCTGCCCCTGACCATGCTGTTTCCCCTCACACCCTAGCCACAGCCCCCAACCCTGCTGGTGCACCTCACTCCCAACCCAGTCCCCCTCCCCTGGTCCTGCCAGTACCCCTCACTGCTGACCTGCAGTCCCCTGGTCCTGCCAGTGCCCCTCACTCTAGATCCACAACCCCCTGCCCCCCCCGCCC